AAATATTTTACTTGAAGTTACAAATGGTTTGCTTCTATACAAGCCAAATTAGGAGTCGTATATATTTGTATGTCAAATGATAAAACTAGAATTTGTTGTTGAAAAACATGAAAATATGCATATGTACAAAAATATTTCTGTTTTCTTAAAATATCTTTGATTGTCTTATTTTTCTTTTACACAAAAGGTATACACAGAAAACTCAAAAGATTTAATATTTCTTTTTTCAATTTCGCTATAAATATAGAAAATTCTATACAAATATTACGCTAAAGGAAGAATAAAAGCAAAAATATCGATGGGATTCAGCGATTTCATTTCTAAATGCTTTTCTCTTTGCTGTTTTGTTGTTTTTTCCTTCCTATTGTATGTGCATTTATATAAAAGGACAATTGTTTTTTCGGTTAATTAAATAAAAGTAAATTAATTTTTTCCTTTAAATTTATTTTAACCCTTTTCTTTTAATTCTTTAATACAATATGCTTTTTATATCAAACGCTAAGCCAGCATTATTTTCCGCAATTCCATACATATATATATAAAGAAATGGAATAAGGGTAAAAGAACACTTTTCTTTCTTATTGAATTATTATTTTCGTAAAAGAATAAAAGTAATTTTAAAGTTTAAAAAATAGATTTGTTTTTCAAACGAGTTTTAGATTAGTTTCTTTGTAAACAAACATTCGATAAAATTAAATTTTTAAAGGAAATCTTAAGTTTTTTCTTTAAATTGAATGAATGCTTCTAATAATTTTGAAATTCAGGATTAACGCATCGTAATTATTTTACTGTTCTGAAAACATGTTACTACAGTTATCCACCTGATAAATTCCACAGCGCACGAATTATTTTGCATTCTTTATTTTTCCCATTTACCGAAATAGATATAAAAGAACGTAAAATTAAAGTGGTTTTAAAGTATATATCAAACTACAGTGATTTTTTTTAAATATTATTCTTTAATTTTTAAACAATTTTCAAAACTTTCTCAAATCAAAATCTTTATTAAGTTTGATGACTAATCTTTTTATATATATATGTTAAACGCATTCAAGCGAATATTATATGTTGAAACAAAATATTTAGAAAATATTTTTTTCTTAATTTTGTGTTCCATTGAGAAATAAAAAGACATCGTGCGCAAATTTTTATTCATATATTATTTTTCAAAATAATGGACGTTTTATACAAGAAAAAAATTTTTTTTTCACACACGTATTGTTATGCTTCAGTGACATTTTTATTTCTAATATCAAAAATCCTTGCGTATATCACGTCGGTTTGAAGCATTTATTATATTCAAATTCATAAAAAAAATTTAAAATAAAATATTGAATAGAATCATTAATCATATTCGCCGTATATTGTAAAGTAGGACTTATGAGTCTAAATTATGACACATATTATACAAGTCATAATTTATTTACAGCTGAGTTATTCTTGATTTTATATAAAAGTAAAAAGAAAAACTTTATTAAGAAAGAACGAATTATAAAAATAAATAATTTGAAAAAAATAACTGAGAAACTAAAAATAGTTGAAGTTATCAAGAATTTTTTTAAACAGCAGTTTTCATGAAAAAATTTTCTCAAATACATACAACCATGCACATAATATATACATATGATTTAAGTAAATTTTAGCGAAATATAAAAAAATATACTTATAACTAAAAGGAAAAGAAAACTAAAAAAAACAAAAAAAAAGCTTTATTAGAATGAATAATTACAAAAATATTAACGGTATAAAAAATAGAACTACCGTATGCAGCATTCATGTTTATTCACTGACAAACTGTTATCATTATTTAAATGAACACAAACTAAAAATAAAAAGCTAGCAATAAAAAAATAGAGACAAAAGTATAGAAATACCGTTATCTACACTAAATTAAAAAGCAGTTAAACACCAGTGATTTTATAGGATGAATATAAGGTTTTAAGGTTTTCTTTTTCTGTTTTATCTCCTGAATAATGTTTAAACAGTAGATAAACTTTAGATGTTTCTATAAATTAAAGATTTGAGTACAAACTATTTGACTTTATTATAGAGAAGAAGAAAACTATAAGGTGTAAAGCAGCCGTTATAGTCATAATGCAAATTGAAAAACTTACTGTTGTATAATAAAAAGAAATTTTGAAGCAATTCTCTTGGGTGGCATTTCTTCAATAGTTTGAGGAAAGATTATTAAAAAATTGTTTATCCTTTCAAAAAATTTGGCAGTTCAATTTTCGAAAAAATTTTTGTAATCTCTTTTGTAATATTATTCTAAGCGGGGTATCCTTTAGAAGAAACATTTTAAAAGATAAATTTATTTTAAAAATACTTACAATCTATAAAAAAAATCGATTTTTATCTCAAAACTTCATATAAAAAATATAATTTTTCCTTTTTGACTTTTTAACCTCTTGAACTTTAAAACTCTTAAAGCATTGTTCTAATTGTGTATTAAAAAAATAACAAATTTTTCATTTTTTGTTTTTGCTTTTTCTTTGTTTTTGTTACAAATGTAATAGGGAAAACATGATACCATTTTGTAATAAATCATAATTATTATTTATTTATTTTTACTTCTTTTTTTGCATCAGGTGTAAAACTTTTTTTTTCTGTTTTAGAAATTGTACACATACTTTATCTTTTTCATACGTAAATGAATTTTATCAAAGTTTACACAAAATGAGAGAAAAAAATTAAAACAAATTAGAATTAAGCAAGAGCTTTGAAAAACAGCACTTTTAAGAGGAACAATCAAACAAAGTGTATTTAAGGAAGTAAAGTAGAATTTTTAACTTGAACTAAACATAGATTTTCAAATTAACTTATAAACTTCAGATATAAAATTAATTTAGAGAAAGTTGGTAAATAATGGGAAACTCGATCCAATTTTATTTCCCCACTGATATTAATTTGAGTGGTATAAATTTATAATTTAGCAGAAAAGTTTTAATTAATAAACGTTTCTTATAGTAATTGAGGTCTAACAGTAAAAATGGCAGAAATATTGTTTATAATTGTGCTGCTAGCATTAATTTTATACACTCTTAAAAATAAAAAAAAAATGAAAGACGGACATAACATTGTTTAAATAAGCAAACTATTTTCAAAAAAAAAAATCAACACAAACCAAAAATAAAAATTGAAATAAATGCCAGACAGAGTCAAATTCAAAATTATTTTGATGAGTTTTAACGCAATGTTTTTCTTAGTTTAGAAATTTCAGTTATCATAAAATTATTTACGTTGAAAATATACGCTAAATAAAATTTTAAATTATATAATCTCTAAAATATAAAATTATAATAAAAAAATTTATTTTTAAAAAGGCACCGGCTTTATTATATTGCTAAAAGTGTTATTATTTTTTTTATTAAATTCATTTAATTGTTTTATTTTAAATTTTTATTATAGAATATTTAAAGATTATGTTAAAGTGCTACTGTCATGTGAAATTTCATATATAAAACTGAAAATGAAGATTTCATAATACGAAAATTAATAAAAAGTTAATTTTTTTCCATTTATGAGATTGGAAAAGGATTTATATGGGATAAATTTATTCTTAAAATGAATAAGTGTATCAAAATTTTATTAATATTTTAAAAATATTAATTGTAGGAAAGATCTATTGACGCAATTTGCATTATTTTGCACAATTAAAAAATGGAAAAAAGATCAAAATTATTGGTTGAATATTCATATCGCAAATTATTTTTTTCCTTTTTTCCCAATACCTAATGTGCATGGATAGTAGTATTTGCTTGTGTAAGATCTATTGATTACGGATATAAAATTTATAGCTTTCGAAATTGTAAGGGAAAAAAAAGTCTTAAAACCTAAAGAGAAAAATCAATTCATACAATTTAAGTAGCTATACCCATATCTTTTCCGAAATTAAATATAGTATAAAATTGGGGCTAATATGTGGGTCAAGGCAATTAATTTTATAATATTAGCAGAAGAGAACTATATAATATAAAACTGATACACAGGTTTAAACATGTTCAGCTGAAAATGGATAATATAATGTAAAATATTATATTATTCATTTTCAGCAATTAATATGAAAACCCAAAAATGATATGAAAAAATTTTTTATAATTGTCTGGAATTGTGTGGAAATAAATAACTCAGTATGTACATCTATATATAACGAGATTATTTTGCCTATAAGCTGCAAAATTAGTTATAGATTAAGAATTTATATAGAGGTTGTAAGAAATTCGAATTTTTAAAAAAATTAACAACTTCAAAATTTGACATAAGAAATTATTTGAGACCAAAAATTTTGAGAATGAAACATCTTGAGAAAACAATACTTAAACAAAAATACTGCTAAATGATAGATAAATGCCTTAAAATTAAAATGTACTAATATTGTAGACTCCTTGCTTAATTTTATATTAATACGTCATTTACAAAGAATGAAAGTATTTAATTTCATTTCGAATATCAACCATCCTGTAAACGTATGTCAGTTATTGCGTTCCTTTGTGTAATTTTTAATTAATGCACGTAATAAAAATCTTACTGATTTTATTTTTTTTTCTCATTTTTGATCTTTAATTCGACCCTTTTTGAACTTTGATTAAGATAAAAATTTTTACATTTTTTATTATTGTATTACATTTTCATTATACTTTTTCTCTTATACGTTCCTTGTTTTTTCTATACACAAAGAGTTATATCCTCGAAAAGAGAAAAATTAATTGATGGAACCAAATTTTATTGGAATATTGAAAGCGTAAGGGAAAAATACAAAGTATAAAAGTATTAAATGCATTGAAAAAAGAAGAAGTAAAAAAAAGGAACAATAATGCAAAATTTAATAACAGTTAAAACTTATTTACTACCAATTTTCAGTTCAATAAAAATGAAAAACATCAGATTTACATTAAATTTTATTACATGTACAAATTATTCAAATATATACATATATTCATATAAAAATTTATATTTGCAGTAAATAGTAGTAAAGTAGAGTGAAAAATGGAATATCTCTAAAATAAAACTTTTAAAAAAATTTAAAAAATAAAATTTAAAATACATATTTTAAATATAAAAAAAATGTGATAAAAAACCTGTGAATTTTAAAAAAAAATACAATTAATGTACATACATACATATAAAATAAATATAAAATGAAACTTCAATCGTCAAATTTGTCATTTAATATAAAAAAAAATAATGAAAAAAATATAAAAAATAATGTTTTAAAATTCTTTCAAAAATTTCAAGAAGGAAACATATAAAATTCAATCAATAGAAATAAAAGAAATATGTATGACGAATGAATTGTTTTTATGAATGATGAACTTATAAAAATTAAAGAAAATAAAATGTTAGAACCAATTTTATCAACATCATCATTGTCATCATCATCATCATCATTATATAATATGCCCTCACCATTGTCGTCATATGAAAAATCAAATAATATTATTAATATAGATGCTACAACTACAACCACAATAAATTCTTCTAGTGTAATGCAAGCAAAAGAAAATTTTTTCATTTCAAATTTTACAACAGTGCCAACTTTAACAATGTTAAATGAAACAATAAATACAACATTTAGTAATTCAAATGATATTTTTCATATAAGAACGATATTTGAAACGAATAGTCAATTTTATGATGATGATATGCAATTAGATCGTTGTCATCCAGACAGTTTAGATTTTAATTGTACAAGAGAAGAATTTTTAGAATTTGTTATGGGACCACAAATGCTACCAATAACCACAGCACTTTTGGTAAGTAGGAAAGATTTTTCTTTCAGTTTTTGTTATACATACATATAAACCTATATTTTATACAAATTACCAAAAATAAATTATATAAATTTTGTTATTAACTTTTTACTTCAAATTTTAATGTTTTTTATTACAAGAAGATGCAATATCAAAACATATTCAGTCTGTGAAAATATTAATTTCTTTATTATTTGGAAAAAGTAATTCTAAGACAAATTTTTTGTTTTTAAAGCTAGCTTTTAAAGATTCTTAAAAAATTATAGAAATTGTCACATTTCTTACATTTTTAATTTTTTTAAATTTGATTTAAATCAAATGGGTTGTATCTCAAACTATTTTACCCGTTTCAAAAAGTAATAATATAGCCAAAGGCTTCTAAATTAAGATTTTAAAAGTTAAGAAGTTAATCCTCAAAACTTCTTCAAAATTAAACCTTGAATATCAAAAAATTAATCAAAAACTATTAACCAGTGAAATATCATTAAAATTTCAAATATGTCAGACATGCTATGTTGTCATAACAAAGGTATAGTTTTATCCAAAAATTTAGTAAAATTACATTCTTACATGCAATTTAACTATAATCAAATTATGTAGATATTCAATACATAATAAGTCCTCTACTAAAAGGTTTCATTGTGAAAACTATAAAGAAGAATTAAATTTAATCAGAAACGGTAATATGATCTTTACAACAAAATGAACATAAAAACGATAGTAATAAATTAAAAATTGTTCTTTGACATGAACTTTGTATAACTAACTTTTGAAAGTTTATATTTATTAGTGTATTAAGTACTTGCACCTTTGGGTCCTTTTAAGATATTTTTTTTTATTAATTTAATCATAACAACCTTTATTTTCACCTTTATTATTAACACTTAATCTTTTATAACAAATTAAGTCACCTTTATAATATAACAGTAATAACTTTGTATTCGTTTATATATTTTGAATTCATGTTTTTACATAAATTTTAAAATGATTTGATAATATACGTATGTCAATACGTAAATATATTTGTAAATTTTAACATACTATGCCATAAGTTTTAAATTTCAATTATTTTAAGTGCCAGATTGTTAGTAACATTCAATATGCAAAAAGTTTTAATTTTATGAATTTTAAATAAAACGATATTTTTAGGACAATAATCGCTTTTGCAAATGAGATATATAAGATAAGATTTGAATTAGCTGAAATTCAAGGTCTTTCAAGAGATAATTTTACAATAATCTCTAAAATTTTCAGAATAATTAAAAACAATAATCCGAAATTTACTTTCTTATATAAACAAAATTTATTATATTTGTATTACGTAAAAAGATTTTCAAAATACCCCTTTCAAATTTCCGATGATTTAATTTAAGCGTAGATTTGGGATTTGGTCCTGAAAAAACAAAGTCTTTACATTTTTATTTTTAGATTAATTGAAATCCCCCATTTTAATTTTAATTATTAATAATATGTTCTTCAAAACTGCAAAATTTAATAATGTACTCAATCAAAGAACGATTTAAAAATATAATTAACTTCATTACGTTTCCATTTTCCTTCTTGATTGTTTTCGGCTCTTTTTTATTGTGTTCTTTACGAAAATTTTTCTGGACCCTTAATAATCTATGTGTGCGTACTTACACAGAAATTGGGATGGTATAATCAGGAAAGGAAAGAACACAAAAAATTTTTGTAAAATATTTAAAGGAAAAAATTTTTTTTTGTGTGTTTTTCTGTATAAAGATTTTTCCTAATGGTTTTTTTATTGGTTGAAATTTCATTTTATATAATATTACAACACAATACTCAAATGAATTTAAGATGCAAAATGAAAAAAATTAAAATGTAAATTTTATGTTCTCATTTCTCATTTGAAAAATTATAATTCTTTTAAAGAGTACATGAAATTTGAAATGTGTAGATTTTTAAAGCTTTTCAAAACCACTGTATACGGTTTTTTAGTAAAAATAAACTAAAATTCTATCTCAATTTTCCAACCAAAATAAATATTCCGGTTTATTATATTAAACCTTAATCCTGAATACTAATCACTACACTTTAAATATATAAAAAACATTTAATACACATGCATGCATATTATATAATATGTAGGTATATAATATTATGTAAACATATGAGAATTATTTTATTCCCTTTATACCTGAGCCTAAATAAACCATTAACAATTTCACAATTTTAAACAGATTACAAAGATATGAAAAAAGGTAACATAAATACGAAAAAAGCAACAAAGAAAGTAAACCCAAAAATGACCACTGTGGGGAGAATTTAAGTTGAACATAAAAAAAAGGAAAAACACAGGAAAATCCAGGTTTTTCTGAAAATGAAAAATTCTGTTTAAAAACCATTAAACAAACATAAAAAAAAATAAAAAATGATTGCATGTTGACAATTCCTTTTCAACTTTTTTTTTTTATTTTGTTTTTTTTTTGTTGCTCTTCATGATAAACACGAAACATATTCAAAGTCATATAAATATAGAAATTATATGCAACAGTCCTTCGCCAATAAATTATGACCCATGTGTAGATCATAAATGAAAAATATTTGTTAAAAATTTGTAACTAAAGAAATTATGAATATTTAGCGAAATTTTATAATTATTGGTTAGGTTGTGTTTTTTTTTTTTTGTATTTTTCTATTTTTTTCCTTTTTAACTACAATTTAAGAACTCTATGGTGGTTTTGCAGAAGCATTGCCTTCATATTTGTATATCGTAAATCGCTATTGTTACCGTTACCACTATAATTAATATTTTGTTTCATGGATTTTTTTATTATGAATAAATTATGAAGACTAAAAATATTATAAAATCACAACAATAATTATATAGAAAACGCGATTAATAATATTTTATTATTATTTTAAATACATAGTTAATTGTAGTATAATATATTACCTGATTTTGTCAGAATATCAATATTTTTTATAGCATTGTTAGCCCGCATTTTCACAATTCTGAGAGCGAATTTTGAACGTACAATGAAGGAATCTCTAAATTTGAAAATTTTAACTTCTTTAAGTATTTCTAACTAAAACCTTTCAAAATTTATTGACAACCACTACAAATACTATTATATAAATTTCCTCGTTTGTAATATGTTTGTATAAAACAATTCAAAATTTTTCACAATTTTTACTATTAAAGAAAATTTTTATCTAAGTATTTTTCAAGGCAAAATATAGATATTAAGAATTAAAGTTATTGAAAAATAACTTTAAAATATTAAAAAAAGCATAACGTAAGTCTTGTCAAAAATAAAAAAGTTTGATAAGAATTACTGAAAGGCAAAAAACTATTTTTATTTTCTGAGTCCGGACTTCTATTATTTATATTTTATTGTATATAAGAAATAGTGTCGTAAACGTTGACAAGCGACTGTATTTTCCAACCCGTATAAATTATCTTATACTATATTATCTATACATACATAATATACATATATAGCTAGTTTGCATATAATAATATTAAAACTTTAAAAACTGAACATTAAGTAAACAACATAAAATTTATTAAAGTTTTATCAGATAAATAGTCTAACTAAAAAAAAAGTGAACAAAAGAAAAACTCTTTCTCTTTTTGTTTCGGTTTTTTTTAAATAAATTTACTCAGCATTATTTAGAGATTTTCCTTTTTTTTTCTATATTTTGTTTTTTTTTTGCTTATTTTTATTCTAATATAGTCTACTAATCAAAAGAATTTTGTATATAAAATGACAGTGGAATGTTGTTTACTAGTTTAACTTTACATAACATATATATACACCTCTTTATTAATTTTTTCACAAGCACTCACATATACTTATTTATATACATATATAGTTTTCTATGCTTGCAAAAGTATTACTACGATTTAAGATTTCAAACATTGCAGATATACAAATGTGTACAAAGAACACATAAATAATACTTTAATAAATTTACGTATAAAAATAAAGTCATGTATACACTCAACAATATATTATGTATTTATATACATAACATAGAGGCATTGATGTGTGTGTACATAAATAAAAAAAATTGTTGATGACATTTTTATGGTAAATTTGTCTTCTTTATTGGAAAATTCTCATTTTATCTCTTTCTTTCATTAACTTATAACTGAAAATTTTACACTTATATGTACTTACAAATGTTATGTAATATATTTTTTTCTGATTAAAGTTGGTGATTTTAAAAAATAAATCATTTGTGAATAATAATCAAAAAATATTCTATAGATAATATCTACATATTTTTTTTTTAAAAACAAAAACAAATGGAATGTTATTAAGAATATTAAAAATTATGAAATAATAATTTAATTAACACTTATTTATTTAATATTCATAAGATAATGGAAAATTAATATTGAAATGAGATACGAAAGCTATTCCACCAAAAAATATTTGCGTTTCAACTGATAGACTGGAGGGCAAAAATAAAAATGCAGAAATGCATTTAAAACTTTAATAATTTGTAGTATGTATAAGTAGAATTAGGTTACTTATACATACATACATATATAAATTCAGAATTTTATTTTATTTTATTGGTTTTAACATATAAAATGCTTATTTCATCCTACGAGAACTGTAACCATAAGAAGTATCTATCTACTATACTAACTTTCGCACAAAGAAAAAATCCTACTATCTCTTCTAATTTAGTCGGACAACGCATTTGAAAGATTATCAGAAATATTCATATGCAGTTCATTTCTTGCTTTATTTTTCGCAGCGTCTTTAATTAAACTTTTAAAAATTTCTTTAATTAAACTTTTACAGACTTTGAAAATCTCTAGAAAATATTCCCAATTTGATTATTTGTGGTGCTCTTTGAAAAACTACCATTTTTCGAAATTTTTGTCAGCAGTCAATAATTATTTTACTAACATAAGTTCCCTCTTATTATTTATATAAAATAATTCACATTAATATTCACAAAAATTACACGTATAGATATACAAAAATCAAAGGATATACATAAATTTTTGTTGAAAATAAATATTAATGAAATGAGATTTAACTTGAAATTTTAAATATTAAGTAGATTTAATTTATCAGTTTGTACGCAAATTTATTCGTGAATGAATTAAATTTACATTAATAATATTTTCAGTTGAACGTAAATAATTTTCATTATTGTTAATTCATTTTTTTTTAGTTACCCTTATATCGTATAATTATATACCTAAAGTTTATAAAACATATATAATGTTGTAATGTATATTAATTGCTAATTTAACAAAATAAAATCATCTCAACGTTGTTTTATAACATATTTTATTAATATTGATTCCATGTATATAAAATATATTGATTAATGACAAATTCATCAAGTGTACTAAATTAAATATTTTTCAAAAATGCTTTCGCTTTTTGCGTTTTAAATTTTTCGTATTTCTTTAATGCAATATAAAATTTAAATAAAATTTATTCGACAAATTTTTAAATAATATTGCATACGTTTTGGGGTTATATATACAAATAGAAATTGAATAAAAACGAAACTGAAATTGTGTGACCACACCCCTTATCATTTATGGCATTCAAACTTGCAATCATAGAAATAATACACGAGTTCTACTTTTTGTACCCTTAAAGGGAAAAAAAATTAAAATATAGTAAAATAATAAGCATATTAATTAATTTTTATAAAAATTGAATTTCAATAAATAAAATAATTTTTAATTTGAAAAATAAACAAAATTTGTTTTAAACTTAAAAAAAATCATTTTATTAATTCATTTGAAAAATTTATAACAATTCCCAGAAGACCAAAGAAGAAATATGGGTAAATGTGTTTGTGTGTATCTATTGAAAACCAAATTATTTCAATCGTATATGAATAACTATAACCCATACCTTTTTGTATATATTTTAATTTGCAAACTAACTTTTCTCAATTTAAAAAAAAATGTCACAAAATTGTCAACTTCTGAAATCTTTTATCAATTTCATTTTATTAGTGTAGGAATACATATACACTCAAGTTTCAAGACGGAAGCAAATGTTTACCTTTAATTCTTTTTCTTCTCTTTTTCTTATGCTTATCACATTGTATCATATTCCCTTTATGTCAAAATCACATTATTAAGGTATTGTTATGTCAAAAATATTAAAACCCCTATGCTGAAGTTAGGTAGTAATAATCAAAAATGATATTATTGAAATGTATTCAGACACTAGATCGTTAGTTTATAAGTGCTAAGAGAGATGTATAACATACAAATGTAAATCACTGATTTATTCTGAATCACATCAAGAAATTAAAAAGAAATATTAAATTTTTTCTTATTTTAGTTGTTGTATAAGTAAATCATGAAAAATTCCTTAAGAACGATAGGAATTCGAACATAACTTTGCTCTTATCCACTACAAAAATGTTGTATAAGCTGTTGAGCTACTTCTCAACATCTGAGAAAGCTTTATAAATTTTTTTGAATAACTTATTTTACATCAACTTAATATTAAATTCAATATTTTTATTAAACTGTACGGGAAAACCCTTCAATAAATTCAAAATGATGAAATAAATTTAAATTTCTCACATTTCAAAAATACTTAAAGACCATGGATGATAAATAAATACTAGCATTAAATACTATAGAAATGCTAGAATCAAATGAAAATAACAATGAAAAATTTATAAAACCCTCAATTCAATTAAGATGTGCAATTAGCTGAGATCTAATGAATTTTTGATTTAATGATAAATTTCCATCAAAGGTTAAAGATTAATACTCTTTTTTTTTTTTGTTTTATTTTTTATCGACGTGGAAGACTATGCAAAGCACAAACATTTTCGTATAAAACTTTCGAGAAATATTTTTGTTTTTATTATTTCAGATTTCCGTTTTTATTAGGATCCTTGTTTTCCATTCTCTTTTACAATTTTCATTAAATTTTAATATATAAAAAATTTTGAACTTTTTATTTCATTTTTTTTATTTGATTTTAGGTCACAATATTTTTTGTTGGGATTTTTGTTACTGGAGTGGTCGGAAATGTTATTGTTTGCGTGGTTATTGTGAGGCAATCTGCGCTTCATACAGCCACCAATTATTATTTATTTAGTCTAGCTGTATCAGATTTGATGTTCCTTTTACTGGGTAAGTTTTTTATACATAATTTATTGATTAATACATAAAATAAATTTAAAATAAATGAAAATGTACATCTATAATTCTGAACTAAAGTTCTGCTTTAACACTTCACAATAATATGACGAACTGTTCTTCTTTAGCTGTTTGGTCTTTAAAGTCCAGCATATTTCTGTTTCTTAAATTTATATCTAGGTCACGATCATTCTACATTTCAATATTTAATGCTAATGAAATATTTCTTTGCAACTATTAAAACCTCCTACGTGAATTTTAATTACAATAATTATTTAAATAACAAAGCTTATCATATCGGAACATCTCCAATTACACAATCTTTCTATTATATTATTTATTTGCCATTTGTGCCTTGAATTTCTATTTTATAATTAGTAATTTACCTCTAACTTATTTTCTGTCGTACTTGAGATAAAATTCTTTTTATTCATCCTTTTCATTTTGCTTTTCATAAAAATAATATCGTATATCCTAGAGCCATTTTTTGTGAAATTCTATTGAATGTTTTTTGTGAAAATATTAAAATAATTGAAATTTCCCTTCCCTCGATTTTAATTATCTTTCCAACTTTCACCATCTATAATTAATTTCTCTCAATTTATAAATATCAATTTTTCGGTTACTTGAATCCAGAAACTAAAAAACAAATTAAAAGTTTATTGTTTTTATGAAAAAGGTGAAAATAATTAATTATATTTTATTGTTATAAAATAAGCACCATACAAAATTAATTTTAAAGGATTTAATAATAGCTATTCCGCTCTTTCATCCTAGTTATACAAATAATAACTGTTATAAGAATAAATTAATTACTTGGTTTTCCAATATTATCAAAGTTTTAAGATTTATAGTAGATACAATGCACATAAAGAAAAATTAATGGATTTATAAGATTAAACATTATAATTTATGTAGTAATTATAATTATCGTATTAATAACGTATAGTAATAATTATTCTAAATTGCATGTGGATTAGCGGACATTACATTCTTCAAATTTGTCGAAAAATTTACTTTAAAATTGATACATTTTAGCCTACATTCGTTAATATTATTTTGTTTATAATTTTTAAGTTAATATGCCTACACATTTTCACTTTCAGGATAATTTCCAAAGAACATCCATAAAATGATAGATAAAACACCCACCTTAATATTTTTTAATTAAAACTTTTACATTTATGTTTTAAAAATAAGAAATGAATAAATAAAAATACAATTTACCAAATTGACAAATATTAACACGAAAATTATATTAATGAATCATTTCCAAAAATTCCAATTTATTATATGTCCTTTCATATATGCTCCTAACTTTCATGTGGATTTCTTTAGGTGCTTATATTGAATTTTGATGAAGGGTATATTAGCTATGCTATGGAGCTTGTAATCACTTGTAGTAGTCATCTGCGGTATGGACATGTATTTATATTCTTGTTGAGCGTAAAATTCTGCGTTGTTTTAGACATGTCTGTTCGTTCATACGATATAATTAAAACGATAACTCAAAAACGATTAATGCAATTTTCAGCAAATTTCACAAGCTATTTCTTTTCTGCCAAGGATGACTGCTATTGTAATTAAACCGATATCGACAGTGGGTTCGAGTAGTTCCACACACCTGCAAAAACTAATTATAAATATTTGGAAAAATAATGAAGTTAAATTCATGAAACATGGCAGTCGTGTTTTCAGTTATAGGTCAGACATCTAAATATTTCAAAAACAAATTTTTAAACTAAGGTTGTCGAGGTGCAGGGTATAATTCAGTCGATTTATGCCGATTGAAACGTTTTTACTTGTTTTAAATTTAAATTAAACATTATGGAAAACATTAACCTTTTATATATTTTGAACCAGATTTTCAAACCATATCAAGAAGAAAATATTCCTACTACGAATAGCGATTTTAAAATTTATTAATTAACTTTAAATTGATTGATGGGATAATTAATCAAAATTATAATGAATTAATAAACGTACAAATAATATAATATGCTTTCCAAATTAACTTTTAAATCTTAAGTCAAATTAAATTTTCATTTTATTTTTCACTATATATTAATTAAAAAAATTAAAAATCTCCAAAAAATTCAAACCAAAAATTAATTAAAATCTTTGCTAAAATATCACACTTCTTTAACGGTATACTTCAGTTATTATCGATATGTACACACTAAAAGTTTAGTAAGTAAATTGTTTGAATTTTCGCTTCAGTTGATTTTATAAAAGTTTTTTGAAATTTTTTATAAAATAATTTTATTAAGGTTTAATTTCCAAAAGGGACTTTAATTTGAAACACACAAGTATTGCCGTTTTATCTAGTTGTACATAAGAGATATTATAAATAAAAATTATGTAGTGCAAACAAGATATTAGTGACATAAGAACACTGTTTGACAAAATAACATTGATCGACCGCAACTCCGCCGCCATGAGAGCAAACCCCCCTAGTATTCTCCTTTAGGAATTTCCTTATACAAACTTATACAAAAATAATTTAGGTGTAAAATTTTGCATGCACTTGAAGTTCGAAGTTTAATATGTACAGGAAAAATCAGATATTGCAATATTCTCCTAATTTCTAGTTCTTTAAAGATGAATTTCTTCGTTTTATCTCTCTTAAAATAGAACTATTAATACCACTATTTTAAAATCATTTCCACGCTCACAAACTTTCTTTCCATATTTTGTAAATTTTTCTCTAATATTTATAAAAAATCAATTATGCATAAAATTTTTAATTAAAATATTTCTTTTTGTAATTGGAAATTTAAGAAAACTATTCCAGAGGAAGGAAATCCGAACAAACTGAGTTGAAAATTAAAAGTACAAAAAACACTCGCGCTAAATAAGACACGGTGACTTTGTTCCTACGAATATTACCTACTAAATAAACAAAGAACCCTATACATACACATTGATGGTTTGCTTCGTAAATTAAATAAAAAGAATTCCAAAACTTTTATTTGTTTTATTTGCTTACTTTAACAGATTTTCCAAACAAAATCAGAAATTTAAAAAAAAAATAAAACAAATCTAAATTTTTCTACCTTTGCGATTGAATTTTGTGTTAAAATAATAAAAAAAATAAAACTTTTCCCTTTTAATAATAAATTAAATTATAAAAGAAAAAAAAGTTGTAAAAACAATAAAATGGTAAAATGAAAAATTTTACCATTTTTTTTTTTACAATTATACTTTAAGTAGAGATTTAAAAAAAGGTGGATAAATAATGAACCTGACAACGAATTTAGAAGATTAATGCATATTGCTGAAGAATTTATTCAATTAGACTTATACTCCAGGACCAATTCGGATTATAGTTTGAAAACACATTAAAAAATCAATTCAGTCTTTAACCATTAATTTAAATGAGTTAAATCAAATACGAGTGTTAAATAAAGATCCTCTAGAATTAAAAGCGAGTAGTTAATGGAAAACCATTTTTTATTGAAATTATTCCAAGTTCAATTAAAAAATTATACGTCAATTTTAAAATTAATAATGATCTAAAGATTTTATTTTAAATTTTATTATTTTTATAGCGAAATAATTTAACATTGAAAAGATATTTAATTGAATATTTCATTCAAAATTATTTTATAATCTCATAAAATTAGCGCGGCGACTTGGAATAGTTATATGACTACGATGTACCCTTAATATAATTATGTTGCTATATATGTAGCGATAATCGGCTTCAACCACTATTCTATAATATAAAAAAATTTTTATCTTAGTTAAGTAAGAAATATATTTTATTTTAATTTTAAATGAACACTATTACATCAAATACTTTTAAATCTTATTATATGTAAATTTATTTTTATTTAAAAACCACAATAGAGAAAAATTGTAATTTTAAACATAATTGGAAGCTATGCTAATTATTTGAGTTCTTGCTTTTCTTAAGTTTTAATATGAGAAGTGAACAAAGAGGAGATTTATAACTTATAAAAATCTTTTACTTGTAAATAACAATAATATCAAATTTACCAGATGCTTTCAGTAAAAACCGAAAAAATTGTAAGCTGTGAGTTGGGTTTGATATGCCACTCGACTGAAATCTAAAACGAGTACATTTTATAATAAAGAAATTCAATCATTACAGTTGAAAAGTATTCTATTAAAAATTGAAATTAATGGGCAAAATTTTGTGTAGTAGAAGTCTAGAATTTCTAGTCCATAATCCTTTTTAATTTTTCTTTCTAACTTACAAGCTTTTTATATGTCTAAGTATGTAAAATGAGTCTTAAATGTAATATGTTTCAAGTAAATTAAACAATAATCTTTAAAGCTTTACAAAAGAATGAAAAATATGAAATAAAATTTTATAAGAGGATTTTTTATTCTCAGGGTACAAAATATCATAATTTTATTATTGTATTCATTCTTATGATGTCGTCAGTTTTTTTCTTCTCTTGGACAATATAATGTATCTTTCAAAAGTATGAAAATGCTAAATGTTCTTAATGTAAAGATAAAGCTTTTTTTTATCTAAAAAAAAATTTTGAAATATTAGATTTTTTTCTTGTGTCTATAAAGAAAGGGAATTTAAAGGACTTTTTCTTTTTGAAATTTTTTTTTTTTTGTATGACATTATTAGTCAAAGATTTTTTTTTATTTTTAAACTACGGACATATTCAGTTACTTTAAGTGCAGCTGTGAAATAAAATTTTTTTATCTTCTAACAGAGAGCTCATGAACACCAGACTATTTAAATTTCTAATTCAAAGAACTGTAAATATAGCTAGACATGAACATCTTAGAATAAAGTATTTTCTTAATTTAAATGGAAAAGTAAAAAAATTTTGAATCAAGAAACTCATATAAATTTAAGGTTAATAAAATATGTTTCAAATAAAACAGGGTTTATGCAATACTGAAAGGTAAAATATGGTTGAAAAAATTAAAATATAATTTTAAACAATTGCAAACTTTCAGGGGCAATTAATTTATTTGCTTTATATGAATTTCCAATAAAAAGTGAGAAAAAATGTACTCATTAGTTTGTGTCTTCATATCCATCCTTGTATCCGATATTGCGTCTGTTTATAAAACTTCTACTCATTTTAGGATAGAAAACTGAAATTTCATATACGATCATTGTTTGATAATTAGGCCTCTCTTCTATGACTGCGCAACCCTTTTTTTCCTAAGGTCGTGGCAAGTGCGGTTCTAACAATTGTTCATTAGTTTGTGTTTCTGCCTGAAGAGGCTGTTATACCTCCCTGCTGTCCTTTTATATTAAACTCCCTGTTGTCCTTTTATGTTAGGATTTTCTTATGGCAGTTTTCATTTAACTGATGCTAGGGAATCTTTAGAAATTCTTTAATTTTCGTGTTGAATCTTAATCATCATTCCTTCCCAAAAGTATTCCTGGTAAGGTAGGAACTTTTCTCCCAGTCTATTGGCATTGGTATGGTAGTAACAGTCTATTCTGTGTACTGTTGTGTTTGTTTCTGTTGTTATACTGTAAGCGCTGTAGACTTCGCTAGAGTCGCTTGAAAAATGTACTAACAAATAAAAAATCTTAAAAGTTAATTAAGATTTTCATTAATTAAGAATGAAAAATGACTAAGAACATTTTCTAATTTCTTCTTCTTAAATTACGGTGGGAAATGATTAACTCCTATTTTACCTTAACCATTTTGAATGGATAACATTAACAATAATGAATTTTATTAAAAACTACTAATTAAATTATTTTATCAAATCTGTAGAGAACTACTAGCATAATTTGTAGTTGTTTTTCATTAACAAATTCTTTTATATTTTGGATTCAATTCTCATTATAATCTAAATTTCTTCTCTCTTGTGTATCTTTATAATTACAGGTTTACCATTGGAAATCAGTTTATATTGGCATCAATATCCATATAATTTGGGTCTACCATTTTGTAAAATTCGAGCTTTAATATCCGAAGCGTAATTATCACTTTAACAAGTCTATAAATAAAAATATTATGTGCTATTACATATTTACAACATACAACATTTGTATTGCTTATGTACATGTTCACAATGGTTTGTATAATTTTGTTATATTATCGGTACATACATAAAATTGTGCAAAAGGTATATAATAATATCTTTTTCATTAAACCCTAAGATAGATACAAGAAACCGGTAAATTGTATTGAAGTGAGTATAAGTTGAATTTGATCTCTAAATACTATTACATTTTAATAAATATCCAACTTGTACTCTAGTCTACAATTCGTTAACTTGTTAGTCTGCTTACGAAGCTCGAAAATCAGTTTTGCAAAAACTTGGAAGGTTCAAGCAAAAAGTTGGAAGTTTGAGCAAACAGTTGGAAAGATCAAACTTGATTGAGGGGAGGTCATTTATGTCATGATTACCGACAACTGGTTACTTCCGCGTTTATTAATGCAAGCAATGTAATTTTCTTAAAAATCATAGTTGTACTCGTATTAATTTAGTTATCTTAAAACATTCTACTAACAGAGAGGGCGCTTTTTCAACCTCAAAATTTAAAAATAAGAAATTTCTCGATTAATTCTTTAAAGATTATCTCTTTAAATAAAGTAAATCGTCCTATTAAAAAAATTTCATCAAATTTTTTTGAACATCTTTAAATGAAAAAACGCATTGGTATGTTCCAACTTGTTTTGTTTTAAATATCTTTTGTTTAATACACAGACAATAATATAGTTTATGTTGATACTAAAAATACGAGAAGATAATGATCACACGTCAATAAGCAAACAAATGGAGACAATTAAAATGTTATCCTATTTGAACCTTTTTTTTTTTGAGTGAACATGTACATTGTACACATTCTATACATATTCATGAATATTTCTTTTATTATTCCTTTAATTCTTTTTATTTTTCATTCTTATTTTAATTAATTACCATATCCATACTTTATATAACTATTCACATTTAACAATTCCATTTTGATACACATGTAAAGTTGAATTCTACAAGGTATGATATTATCTTTGTTTAGCATATTGTATTTTTTCCAATTAGTAATTATGTAGCTCCATTGTATACAAGTACAAGGTGTTATATTGTGCTGTTTAAAGCTAAAATCTATCGTACGTATAATATTTTTTATACAATAGTTTAGGATTTTATTTTAACATTTTTTATGAAAAATGAATATGTAACACTTTTTCGAAAAAGCAAAAACAATTCCGCGAAATATTTAAACTGTAATGAATATGTTTTGTACAAACTATTAGACTTGTTCAAATCTTACCATATTACGTTATTTTAGTGAAAAATATGCCAAATTGGGTACTCTGAACCCCACAGCTTTGACGTTTTTTAATATAAGTGATAGAACTACGTATAATATAAGTGATGATACTAATTATTTAAAATTTATTTTAAATAAAATATTTATTATTTCGGAAACTTTTAAAACAAAAGTGTATTTCTTTATCTCCAAATTCTATGTTTAAAATATTTTGCGATAAAATCTTAACTCGTGGGACTTTATGTAAAAAAAAAAAACATTTTTAAACTTCAAATTTCAGTTATGCTGTTAAAAATTTCTTTTATTACATATTATTTTTATCTTTTCTCAATCGTCCTCTAAACCATTTATTTCAAGTTTGTGTAAACAATAACATCCTGTAATTTTTGATATATACATGATTATACATTGAATCTACGTAGACAGATGTATTAGTATATGTACATAGATAGAATATAAATTTATAAAGAAAAATTTTAATGAACATAATGTTGTTATGATAATTTAGAAAAGATTTTCTTCAATATTACACCATATTCTCATACATCATACCATATAATTAGTACAAATACTTATAATACACATAAAAACATATACATATACAAATACTGAACTATTGATGTATAAGCAAACACAATTTAATATTTCCATATATGATTTTGTTTTATTTGCTTTTTTGTTTTTATTTTATATTTCAAAAAACAGATCGACATATGTGTCGGTGTTAACAATAGTGGCATTTTCAATGGAAAGATTTTTAGCGATTTGTCATCCTTTACATTTGTATACAATGAGCGGTTTCAAAAGAGCATTAAGGATAATAGCTGCTCTCTGGATAATAAGCTTTTTAAGTGCTGTGCCTTTTGCAGTATTCACAAGAATAGATTACATTAAATATCCCCCTGGTGAGTAAATATATTATATCTATATTAATATTATTTATATATGTATGTTAATTTCTACAATATATTATATAATTTTTATAAGTGTAAGTATATGATGGCAGTATGATATACGAAAATAATATAGAAATATTATTATTGTTTTAAAACTTTTTTTATGAATATTCTCTAATATATACGTATTTGTAATATATAAATATATATATCCATACCTCATACAACTGTATGCCTAAATGTTTTAAGAAAAATAAAAGAAAATTTTATGTATTTTTTGAAAATTTGAAAAATTTTCTTTAAAAGTCATATCTAATTACATACGTGACTATACTATATTCTATATACTGTCTAAATTGTAAAATATTTCGTATATGCTATAAGAAAGTATGAAATATAATTGTATAAAAGCAAAATATTTTTATTAAAGTAAAATTTACTTCATATAAACTTTAATTTTTAGTGAGAAACCACAGATAATGCAGGGTGATTTTTCAAGCATTAAGTTTTCACTTTTAAATTAAAACCAGAAATTTTCTAAAAATTTTTAATTGAATCCAAAATCAATCATTGTCATTGACTTCTTAAATATGAGAATTCAAATTTCATCATAAACAAATTACGCTTTCTAAATTGTTTTCTGGAGGTGTAAATAATGTCGGATAGCTCATGAAATTAAAAGGTCTTACGTATGCCCAAAAACGTAATGCTCCGAGATTAGACACGACATAGATGATCAATTTTAACAAATTTGAAATGTAATCGCTCCTCAGTTGCTCCATTTTAGTATTGAACTTTTTAAAAGTGAGAAACTAAATGGGATCCAAATGGCAACTGTAACGAACTAGCTGAAGAAAAACACTCTTTATTTCTATATATGGTTGAAAATGCGCTGTAATAAAATAGATACACAATGTATATGGAAATGAAAATTTAAAACATTGAAAATTTTTAATTCAATTATATGTAGCTATTTTTGCGTTTGGATGTTCGCTTTCAATTTATTGAAAAAACTCTAACTCACGACATTTTTATATATAATTGAGCAACCAAAATTGTAATATCAATAATAATAATAACAAAATATAGATAAGAAAAAAGGGTATCTATATATTGTGAAGCAGAGAAAGGTCCTTGAACATTATTTTGTAACATTAGTAATAATTCAAATTCCGTGTAACAAAATTAATTGATACGAGTATTATATAGAAAGAATATATTTTGTTTTATAAAATCTATAATGGTTTCTATTTTTAACCATAATTTTGGTTCCTTCTGTTCTGATTCCAATAAAAATAAGAAATTTTTTTTGGAATAGATATGTTCATCCTACAGAGTATTTGCTTGAAAATCTATATTTGCTTGAAATCTATAAAATTTCTTGTAAAGTATATTGTGGTTAGGGCACTTAACAATAAATCCGTTGTTACAACAATAAATTAACGACAAATTTTTTGTTTTCATTTATTGAGTAGCTACATGTTACAAATAGCAATTACTTTATAATTAAATAAATATGAAAAAAAATTATACCAATCTTCTTTTAGATACTCATTTGACTTTTGAATCCTTTTAAAAGCTGGTATGAACGTGAACATATTGTAAGATTATTATGGGTTTTATGTACCGTCGTTAGCTAGTTCGATATCCATCTCTAAGGTGTCGACTTCCGTTACCAATTTAGCAAAGAATAAACTTAATATGAAAGAAATAAATTCAATTTTATCAAGTTTTTACCACTCACGTTAATTGACGGCATTCGAAATTCTTCAATAATATTATAATAAAAGAGAAATTTTTTTTTCAGTATACCACTTGCCTTTAATTGCTAAACACTATTTTTAATTACAGATAATTCAACTATATATGAGTCTGCTTTCTGTGCAATGTTAGATAATCCTCCAGGGTTTCCATTATGGGAATTTTCAACTGTGGTATTTTTTGGTATTCCAATGATTCTTATATTAATATTATATGGAAGAATGGGATGGCAAATAAGAACAAGAACAAAAAATAGTAAAAATCTGGGTAAGTTACAGTTCTTAAGAAATATATTAATAAAATTATGCTCGTGAATAAATGTACAAATTATAAACATTTCTATAACAAGTTCAGAGCATTTAACTGTATGTTGTATTAAGAGACTTTTAAGCACAGTTGAATAATCGAATAAACATAAATATATTTCTTAATAATTATCATATGTAACACTGTCTAGTTTTGAACTAACCTTTTCAAACTTTAAAACTTAAGTAAAAAATTCAGAATTTGTTTTATTTAAAAGTATGTGGTTAGATGTTTTAACAGTTGCTCTGTAACATTAACACGAAATATAAATTTGTTTTACATAAAGCGCTTAACGTTCCATGTTCTTGTGAAACACAAAAAGTAAAAAACTTTAACCTATAAAAATGCAGTACTTATCTATAATCTATAAACTTAATCTGTATAAAATATTAAATATGAATTTTACATTGGTTATGATTAACCAAAAAATTCCATCTCTTGGATTACACTCCCACTTTTATTCAATGTAATGCTATATATACTAACTAACTTTGATTATATTTTTAAGTATTGTAGGAATTTTTGTGTTTTTTTATTGTATAACTGTCTTTTTTTCTTTTTTCTTCATTTTTATTATTCAAATATTTTCAAGATTCATTCGTTTTCATTTCATTTATACTTTTGCAAATATAGGTGTAACACAAGGATCTATGCATAAAGAATCTAGGCAACATCAATCAAGGAAAGCTATAATCAGAATGTTAGGTAAGTCCTTTTCAATTATCAAATTGAATATTTATACACATAAATATATATATATATTTATTATATGTTTACACTATATACATTCATATATGTCAATAAACCTATATATTCTTATATTGATGAACATGTGAATAATATGCTTATATCTTTACAAAATTTTTCCAGCGGGATCAATTTATTTTTCGTCTTTGAGTTTTTTTTTCTGTTTTAAAGAAATTTTATATAAAAAGAACATTTTTTATCGATTTTCATTCAACTCAATATCTTTACCATAAACATTTATCCTTAAAGTATATTTTCTCTTCAAACACTTAACACAACAAAATAAAAGTTTTAATATGCTTTTATCTTTATATTCAAAATCCAAGTTAAAAACTTATATGTAATTAATTATCAAATTTTCTTCTATTCAAATAGAAGATTATGAAATGATATTTTTAAGCATGAAATTTAATTAACAACCCTTTAGTATTAAAGATAAATCAGACATTTTATTTTTTAAAATGAATTCTCTTCAACTTTTAGTAAAAATCATAAACTAGACACAAATTTTTATATAATTAAATTTTTATATAATTGATAAAAAGTAACACCAACTTAAATCAGAAAATGCGTATTCTAAAAATCGGATTGTGAAAAACTGGAAACCGGATTCTGAAAACTACCAGTAATCACAAAAAAACCATATTTTGATATTTTTACAACACTTAAAAGTAGTTTGACAGATAGTGCTTTCTACATGTCATGTCATTTCCAATGTTATTTTTAATTAATCATCCAATAGTATTTGATGTGTGTTTTCGTTTTCTTTACTGATCGAAATTTGAAATTAGAAGTGAATAATTTACATTAAAGTAACAATCCACTTTTTATACGTATTCTTATTCACCTTATATTGCTTATTTTCTGAATAAAAACCTACAACTCATTCGAATATAACGAAGTCTTCTCTAATTGTAATAAAAAATCTACATCACCATATATCCTTTTCTCGATTAATTTTACAACTCTATTTTTCTTTTTGTGATGTTTTTTTATATAATCCTCACATTCACTTTTTTCTACTGCCTACTAGAAGATTTAAATGTTATTGATGATGTATTGTTTAATTTTTTTTTCCAAAATCTTTTATAATTTTGAACAAATAGTTCTCTTATTGATTGATTAAAATGCTATTTGAAATGTGTATATAAAAAATATATATCTGAATATTTTTGAGAATTTTTTTTAACAAAAATTGTAACTTGATGAAATAAAATAGTTAACATTTTAAGAAATTGAAAAAAAATAAAACTTAAATCACAAGTCATCGATTAAAATAGAATAAGATTCATTTCATGTAAACCAAAATTTTATGTTCAGCTAAAAAGTATGGTATAAGCCAAATACAATAAGTTAATATATGAACACACCGACATCATAGATACCACATTTACAAAGCATACAAAATTAACAACTTACTTACTAACATATTATATATAAAAATATTACATAAAATAAAAGCGTTTACAGATGTTGTACAAATATTTAAAAGAGAGGATAATAAAAAAAATTTATCATTCATAAGGACGTGCAGATATAAAAAAGCGATTACGCAATACATGTATTCTGCAATCGCTTTAAAAATAGATTAAAATCCTTTTTCTATATATAAAAATCATTTTCCCATTAATTTATCCTTCTTTTGCATGAATAAATTTTAATTCTCTTAATTAAAAAGAAAATTAAATATAACAAAAAAAATATAATTCGGTGTTTTCGATATCATTGTGCTAATGTAAATATAAATACGACATGAGTCGTATTCATATTTACATTATCGGCCACATAAAAAAAGTCAATAAATTATTGAATGCGTCTATACGTGAATATTTTGTACATGTATTTATATATAAGACCATTGTACAACCGGGTAATAGCGCACCATGACCAGCACAAAGGATCTATGTACTAATCCACAATATGTGCGAGCAAAATCCCCACCCCCGCAAAATCGCGCCACAAAACATGCACGTGCCCACCCACTATCTACGCGCAGCCTGTTAAGGTGCCCTCTAAGCCTGCAATGAATTGTAAAAACACCAGTGAGAATTCTCTTTTAGTTCCTGCCAAACCCTATGATATTCCTAGAGATCACTAGTTAATCATCTCGGCAAGCCACGAAAACCTTTATTTAGGAATTACAGATTGTGGAGGAAAAAGTCAATGTAAAATCTCTCTTTTCATTCTCAATTCGTTAACTTAAAGTTGATGGTAAACTGTGAAACACCTCCGAAAGAGTATTCCCTTATTACAAAGCTCCAAATCAAGATCAAGACAATCATAAAGAGCAGCTCTCAAAAATTTTATAACAAATTGTAAGAGAAAAATTTAACTACATATGTGTTTTATTTTTAGAGTTTTTCTTTTTTGTTATTTTTTTTAAATTTTTTTCCTTTACATTAGCAAGAATGCGCACATAATGGATTTATTTTATTTTATTTGAATTTTTCATTAAATTAAATTATCAACTCACATTCTTAAATCATTAAATTCATTCATTGTTCACCATTTTAGTAAGAGACAAAATTCTTTATTCGTACTTATCGCAAGAAAATATATACATATGTACGTACATACTTACATATGTTTTGTGTGTAATATTATGTAATATTGTATTATTAATAATGTAAAATATGAAAATTATTATAAAAAAATATTTTCATTTCTCCCAGAGTACACTTGCAAATTATGCAAATCAAAAAATTAAAAATGAAATCGTAATTCATATATGAGTGATTGTGTGTGTTTATCTAACATTGTAATTTGATTTATTTTGAGTTATTTTAGTAATTTTTTTCATTGTTTTCTTCGGCATGTAGATATTTAATTTTCATATTTTTTCTTTCATTTCATTAATTTTTATATTATTTTTCCAACTCCAGTTTTTATTTTTTTTTAACAAAATTTTTAGGTTCGGTGACTCCTTAAAATAAGCTCCTTAAATCATTGTTGTTATTTGTGTCTTCGGGTTTTTTTCTTTTATGTTTTGTCTATTCTATAGGTTTATTTAATTGGATTCCTTAGATGGGTTTTTTTGTATGTTCTATTTTTTATTTACAGAATAGATGAAAAAAGAATGTTTACGTTTTGATGAAATGTGGTATTTTTAAAATAATCCTTATGAAATATTTTCGAACTGAGAACAAACATAAATATGAAATTGATGTGAAAGCTATATGATCGATGCTCGAAAAAAATGTAGTTGTGTTTATACATACATATATTATTCGTATGAGACCCGAAGTATAAAATTCTACGAAATTTTATTAATTATTAGATACAATCGAAAGAAGTGGGTAGTAGACAGATTAACGGTGATTCCTAATAACATATAAAGCTACGATATGGAGTTTTAAAAAATTTCTTATTTATTTTCTCATTGGTATCTGTTTGCAGAAATCTTTATCTTTGCTAATAAAAATTTTAAAAAAACATTCTTATTTATAATTAAATTTATTAGAAACTAGATTACATTAATTGACAGACTGAGAGATGTTAGTTATGTTAAAAATAAACTTTTTTCATATCTTTCATGTTCATTCTTTAAAGCTTTTGTATTAGACGACACAACAATACTTCTATTATTGTATAATATGCAGCCGGTAAACATATTTTCTATATTATATTTTTTTAATGATTATGCGTACGATCTGTTTTTTTTATCTTATAATATATTTACACATGCCTACACTCCAATATATCTACAACATACATATACATAAACACATATTTTTATACAAATCAAATTTTCCTCCGTATGTATTACTATAATTTTATTGCAATTGCATCCATACATACGAGTATATCAATAAGGAAACTTGAAAAGCTGGAAAAGCAAACTCGTTGACGTGAGATTGGGAATATGGAGATCTAGCGAGCATAGCTAACTTAAGTGTATCTTTTGATAATCGCGTTAACCAAACCTAACGTAACCCATATTAAAATACTTATTCGTCTTTTAAGCTCACTATAGTTATCTCTTATTTAAGCTAAAAAATCTCTTATTCGTTCAATGAAAAAAATTCATGTAAAATATGACAATATTTTACATGACTTTTTTATTCTGTAAAATACTATTATATTTTACAGAATAAAAATTCTGTATGTTGTAGTTTAGCAGCTAAGGATCACAATATGACTGCAGCTAATTTTGCTTTTGCATTTATACCCCATAATGTTTCAGTTATTTAATATATATAAATCATTTAAAATAATATACCCAGAAGCATGCAATAAAATAAATAAAATAACAATGTTACTCGTACTTCAAGAAGCTATAGTATAATAAATGTGACGGAGAGTTCCCATTTAAGACTAATAAATTTTTAAAACAGAATCGTAGGCGTAAAAAAATATTGTAGTTGAACTTTATAACTTTCTTTATCGAAAAATTTTAATGAAATAACATATTATAAACGAAATAATAATAACATGTACATAAATATTATAAGTACAATACAAATTGTACTTACCTTAATGATAAAGTCTAAGTACCTAATATACTTGTACAAACATATACATTACATATTTATGTGTATAGAGCAATCAAAATTAATTTTAAAGACAGTGTCTGTTAAATACACTTCCCTAATATTTTATTTTTATATTATTTATGTTGAACGTATCAAAACAATAACAAACGGAAACGTTGTATCCTATCTAACCTATACTCAACTTATCTTTTTTTATATATCTTCCCATCTTTTCCATATTTTCTCTCTTTCATTTTTTTCTTTTATCTCTTATGGTTCACTCCCGTCTTTTATTAAGAAAAAAAAAGAAAGAGTGAAAAGAAAGAAAAATTGTGAAAAATGAAATTACTTATGGTTGTTAACAATATTAACGCACATTTATCTTCGTCTCACTCAGCGCATATAGACAATATTATAAGAAAAATAATAAAGTAAAGAAAACACAATATTAAGTATAGAAATTTCAAAAAATATAGAAAGAGAGAATAAAGTATTCTTCTGTTATTTTTCTATGCTTTTCATGTTTTAAAGGTTTATTACTTCTACCTAAATTTACCCTTGTTATTTTACTTACCCTATATTTATCTTTATTTCTGTATTATATTATTATTCATTTTAAATAGATTTGCTTAAAGAACAGCAAAAACGAAACAGGAATGGAATAAAATGAGGAAAAAAAGCAAGTAAAAATCTGGGATAAGAGTAAAATTAAGCCATAAAAGAAATATACGTAAATAAATCTACGGTAGTAAATAATAAAAATCAAGAAACATGAGAGTATAGGGAAAAATATTAAAGAACAGAGAGAGAGATCTCGCAAATACTTGGAATTGAGTATTTTAGAAAATATTCCCTGATTTTATACTTTTAACAAAAATATTATTTTAACTTTAAAAATTTTAATTACAAAAATATATTTTTTTTAAGTTCACTCATATACATATACCTATATACATGTATTTTAATTTTTGTCTGTCTGTCACCTATATAATACCACATTTCCAGCCAGCCATTTTAATATCTCGTTTATTGCCACCAATTCTACCTGAAATATTCTGCAGTGGTCTAGAAGACGAAAAGAGATTTACACACCAAGTTGTTTTCAATATAGCCGCGAAAAAGTATCTCAATTCTCCGGCCGTACTGGGATAAGTCTCTGAATTTGGACCAATCAGTTCTTTTCCAATTTCTGAAAGTTTGTGTAAGATTCTGCTGAGCAGTGAATTAAAAATGTTTATATCGAAGGTCGGCAAGAGAATAATCTTCAAGCTATACAATTCTTAACCATTCTAGCGATAGTTTGGAAGGCAAAGGTTATTCCTTTAACCTTTTACCGATTTTTGGTAATAATTCTTTACTGAGTATAATCAAGTCTTGTATGTAGTTGCCCTTTTATTTTACCAGTTTGGAAATCCTTCAATTTTATATTGACAAGCCTGCTTGGAATTTGATCCCTTGCTCCCAGCCAGATACCATCCATCTGATCGCCTCTGTGTAAATATTGACCGATTATACGTCGGTATGTTAACCGTGGTCTCCGTATTTGAGAATTTAAAAGAGAACGCCTAAAAAATTTTATTTCTAACTTATTTCTTCTTTAACTCATTTCTGTCCTACAGCATTTTGCATTTTTGATTAAGAACTATTCATTATTTAAATATATAGGTATGTAAATTTGCAATTTAACACCCACGTGTATTCGTTTCTCCATTTACAAGTTTATGTAAAAAAAAAATTATAATAAAAAAATTCTTTCTGAATTATTTCTAAAAGATCTATTTAAAAAAAAAATAGAGCTAAATCATAAAATATTCAGTAACTCGTCAAAAATTCTTTTAAAAAGAAATTCCTTCCATGTATGATGTACATATGTATGTTTTTTTGGTATTAAAATTGTCGTTTACACTGGAGTTGAAGATTGATCAATAATAGAGCTGAAGTTTTTGAATAAATCATTTAAGCATACACAAAGAGAAAATACTCTCTTTAATTTAATTATATACTCTTCACGTTTTACATAATTAAGTGCGAGAATTTTATTAAATTGCTTATTATTATTTTGGAGGAGTTATGTTTGAGAATGTGTTTTCAATTTGTAATTGATAAAAAAAAAATTTTATTAATATGTAATATGAACTTGGTTTGTTTGACAGTGTTTTTGACAGCTAAAATAGATTTAATGTAAAACGTTATGTTGGAAAAGTTTAAAGACGTTCGCTTGCTCTTAATGTTAAAAAAAAAGGTAGAGAAAACTAATGAAAAATAACAAAAATAGTTTCTTTTCTTCATATAAATTAGAGTTGTAAAAAATTTTCACTGACTCATTCTCATAAAATCTATGACTAGATTAGATGAGTATGACAGTAGTATCACTGTTATTATAAATATTTTTGATTTAATGTTTTGTGATATTTTTATTTTTCATCTTTTAAAAAATTGATGTTACAATTGACCGTGAAGTCGCAAAAATTCGTGCGAAGTCCTTAATAATAACATTTTAAAAATAAAAAAAGCACTGAGTTAATTTAATTTAATTCGTTTTTAATTTTATTACTTATACATATATACATATATATGTATATATATGTACTATATTTGTATATATTATGTGTAGAGTATAAGTGCTTACTTATACGTTTTATCAAATACATACAACCATACATACGTATATATGGTCGTTAATATTATGTAAATTGTGTTATGTTATTTTCATTGTTTATAGGAAGAGGGGCTGCCGTTTACAATATTTACCAACTCCTCCAGTGTATAATTTATTTTTACATCATTTATATGCGTGAGAAAGCATAACTATATGTAGATATACATACATAGTAATTTAATATACAATGATGTGAAATGGAATTTATTTTGTATGCATAAAAATATTTAAAATAATACAATGTAATAAAAAAAAATATTCTAAAATAATAATTTTAAAAATGTTAACATTTTTTCATCATACTTTTTATACCATAACATGTTATGTACGTAATACATGTATTTATATAATTTTTTTTCATTATTTACAGCCGCTGTTGTTATAACATTTTTTGTATGTTGGGCGCCTTTTCATGCACAACGATTAATGTATTTGTATGGAAGAGAGTGGCCATATTTTCAGGATTTACATCCTTGGCTTTTCTCAGTAGCTGGATGGCTTTATTATGTGTCATGGTATGTTTTATATTATATAATTTACATAATACATAAATGCATATATAGACATGTGTACTTTATACATAACATTTAAAATATATAAGGGCCCCTAGTTTAGCAATAACTTTTTTGAAAATTATATTACTGCTATTATTATAATCATAAAATATGTATAATGGCTACATAATAACAATTTATAAATATTATATATAAGATTCATCTTTAATTTTCACTTATAAAATTATTATTAAGTACACGTATATACATACGTATGTTATACGCTCCCATAAGCAAATTGTAAATTTTAATTATATTATTATACATCAAATAAATAATATACAGAGTGAGACTGTTCAATAGATTATACGTAAGTGAAAGGCTTAAATTTCGTTATAAAGTATGAAATATATTAAGCGTTAAAATTATAAAAATCATTCAATCATCGCTCAAGCTTCATTTAATAAAGCCGGATCCATAATTGGAATGTGATCAAGATGAATAGAAAAATATAAATCCATATAGAAAAAGTACAAAATGTAATCACTAGTTTTTTTTTTAAAAACTGTGATCAGATTTTGAATATATTCTGAAAAAAGTATTGCATACTTTTTGGGGTAAAAGAGGAAATTTTAAAGAAGCATTAATATAATTCGACGTTTAATATTGCATATATTTTGGGGTATGAAGAAAAATTAAAATAGGCTTTAACATGGCATCAACTTAACCGTCACTTTTTTACGTTTATAGAAATTCAAAAAAGCTTACTGTTTCGGAATAATGAAAACAGAAAATAAAAATGCTAAGTTTGAAATTAAATTACTTGAAAGACGGGGCCGAAGTGAAAAAAAAATTGCTCCGACGAATATGATGGAAAAATTTTAGTCTCTCCACTCTGTACGCGTAAAAATTTATATAATTTATTAATAAAAATAATGTATACAAAGTATTTTTAATAAAAAAATTATAAATAAATTAAACTTTTTTTACACGGTTTTTTTAATAATAGAATAATATTTAATTATAGCAATAAAAAATCACAAAACACACCATGTTGTAGGCGTACAGGATAAAATTAATGCGCTTTCATTTTAAATTTATTATTTCAATCGGAACATTGTTTTAATATTAAAAAAATTTTATACTGAATTTGGTAATAATTTGATTGGAAAATTCGATGATTTTAACTTATAATAAATGAACCATGAATATAAAATAAGTGCAAAGTATAAAATAAAAAATAACAAATCTCTAATCTCTAAGTTTAGTTAATATTTACAATTAAGTTTAGATAATATTTAAATACATATGCATAAATAAAATAAATAGGATAAATTTCGATAAATATGAATAGTGGAAAATATTGATACCGTTGCACAGACTGTACTAAACAAGTCCTTAATCCAAGATTTGTCTATTATTATATTCTATTGTAGCAATAATGTTATATATCCTAAAAGGCGTTGATAATTAAATTGATTAAACGTTCTGTAGCCATACAAAATTAAAATTATATGGCAAAAAATAACCTGTGTTATTTTAAATCTTAAATTTAAATAACATAAATTTCAAATTTAATTTTAGTAATAAATATTAAATTAATAAAAAATTTTTATCACCTTTTAATACTAAAATTAGACAAATCAAATATATGTTTATTATATTAAGTTGTTTCTCCTAATTCCGATCATACTTATTTATTCTTCTAAAAATTACGAGACCGCTTAATATCTTTTTTATTACGCATAATTTTTAAGTCTTTTCTGAATTCTAAACATGATTCATTTCATTATTACTCATACCTTATTATTATTATTATTCAAAGATAAAATCCTATTTTCTAGGACCCTAATATAATTTTAATATCACTCAAAGATCCCAAGCATAAAAACAGGAGAAAAGAACAAAAAGGATTATGCAATGAATATTTTTTATTCTATTTTATAACCATTCTAATATTACAACAATTGATGCGTTTATAGCATAATAAAAGTTAAAAAAATTGTTAAGAAAACTAGACCGACACACGTTTATATAAAATGGAGGTACGAGTATTTTCACGTTCTTCAAGAATATACGCAAATATTGTATGTATGTTTAAGTAAAAAAAAAAGATTCGTGGTAAATTTATTAGATCGTAAAAATACCAATACATTTCTGTATACAACCTACTTCGTACCCTAAATGTTTTACATATAGCTATATCTTTTGAATTCCATAAGGAAATCTGATTGAAATATCAAAAAGTCATTGCATTTGAGCCGTAAATTGCGGCAGAAAAATAATATTTATGTATATGTTAATGTAAAAATGTGTATAGAAGTAGTAGCTGTGTTCCGAACTTAATAAAATTAATATTGCATGGATTAAAAAATAAATATAGTAGATTATTCTTTATAAATTTTCTTTTTCTTTTGTTAATTCCCATTGCTTCAATAAATCCTTTCAATCGAAGTGTGTTTTCAACTAGACACATTATTTCTGAATAACATTTTCATTTGACTCGGCCGCCTTAAATGTCACTCATCGTCACGCGTTACGTGGGCTACCCACCTTCCTTTATACCTGTCAATGCTAATCTAGTACCAGCCTGATTATTGTTCGATCCATTGCAGTGGTCGATTATACGTTGAATATTCTAATTTTGTTACATTTTACCAAGTGGAACGACTTCCATACGGGCAAAATCCGGCCACGATGATGCCTAGGTAGCAAATATCGTCTGCATACTTAACAGTCTGCTGGTCAACACCGATTTGATACCCTCAGCGTCACTTTAACTCTTTTCATTACCTCATCCAATAGCATTTTACAGAGGAACGATAATAGAGGACACCCCGTCTGACACCGAAAGTTATTTGAATAGGTATGATTTAAACTGGCTATTGGGTTCTCGGATATAGCCTCAATGATGTTAAAATTTTTTTAACATCATTCTAAATCGTAATTGAAAATTTTATGTTCAGAAATTACGGAACTGGATTGAAAATAATAATGCGATATAATTCCCTTGAAAAGAATATGTTTTGAATTATTTCGAAAAACACATACAAAATAGCAATCAAAATAGGTACACTGTGCTAAAAAATTTTGTTTTTGCATCAAAAGCTTATCCACTCTGCTTATCTCGTACAGAATTAAACACACACTAATTCACTGAACTTTACATTATATACAGTTGAAATTTGTTATAAAGTACATTGAAGGGCCCAAGAAAACAGATAATTTTAAAAAATTTACAATTTTATATGTTATTACAAATGGGGATAGTTTGAGTAAATAAGAACGGTGATAGCTTATCAAAAGGTCCAAGCATTTCACTCTGGATCTCCAAGCCGATACCAACAAACCCTCTTTTTACTTGATCTAGATCCCTTTTGCAATCTTATATAACCAGAATATTATATAACCAATAACTTATTCGAGCCCACAATGCTCTAGGTTGCTCTTTCGATAGCATAACACTTTCACTTTATTCTCTACACTAACAGCAATTAAGAGAAAGTAATCCGACTATGCTAGTCCAAATAATTAAATCTGCTCAGACAGCCTCCGAATGATTACTCCGGAGTTAAAATTGCTATAGTTGTCTTTGATATTGTTATCAAGGCCGAATCGCAGAAAATTGCTCGAAAACATTCCCATCGGTTCAAAGTACACGATCCAAAGCGAAAATTCTTCTGAATACGTCACCGACATAGTCTTAAACATTTATCCATTCGGATATATTATATAATCGCACCACAAACCTGCTTTATTATTTGCAAATGGCACCAACCATCATATGGTATTACAGAGAGGAATGAAATATTTACTCAAAAATAAATTGAAAATTACATTTTGTGTTGACAAAAAGTTTTAAATAAAACAACAAAATATATAAAAAAAACATTCGTTATAACCGGTCTCTACTGTAAATATATATTGTATGACATTGTATATATATATTGAGTTTATTTTCAATAGTTAAGGTGGCTTGATTTAATAGAGATTTTGACCAACAAAGAAAAATAAATTTTGGAACTTTATTTCTTTAGAATCTATTTACTGTTTTAAATCTTCGTTTGTTTTATTATAATAATGTTTTTTTTTCCATTTTTAATTTTATTCTTATCCTTCAAAAACGATTTTCGTTTTATTATTCTCTTTAATATAATATATAAGAGATTTCAATGGAAATAAAAAAAGGAAAACGAAGTAAAAAAAGTAAAAAGTAAAATCATCATCTTTCGCAATGATTTTATTTGATTTTTGTTAGAATTTTATAAAATAAATTCCAGATAAGGTAATAAATTAGTCCTAAGCTTCTTTTCCATTTCCGCCACTTCCCATCATCCTTCGTTATTCAGAAATATTTTATTTTATTAGTTTCTTTTGTGAAAATGGACTGAATTTTAAATCGTCTCACCATACACGACCAAAGAATGTATGTATATATATATATATATATATATATATATCTATATATATTGTACTTAATACACGTCATGGTTATACATTTATTTATATAAAAAAGTAAATACGTACACAAACCTATATTATATATTATAATTGTCTTTATTTTCATATTCCATTGAAGGATATGCAAACAATATTAAAGTGTAAAAATATAAAAAAGAAGTGAACAGAAAACGCGAGAGATTTTCATTATAATAAAACTATCCTTGAGATAAGTGTATATATTTTCATATTTTTATCTAGTCGAGACTTTTCACTAAACAAATTGCTTTTTAACGGTTTAACATTTTTAATTATTAGTGTTTAATAATCAATTTTTCATATTGAATATTCAATATTATTTAATAATGCAAATAATTGCTATAATTGAAAAAAATAACAATGAATAATAAACATTTTCAGTAATCGTTGCATTATTCATTTAGGGTTGTAATTTAGTGATATTTAATAATACTAAAAAAAATATAAAAACTTATATTAAATGTTTCACTTCAAATTTTGCCATGTGATTTTACAATTAGGAAAATTTTTTAGGTTTATATTCAGTATGTCAAAAAATGTCTTTGAAATAATCGTTAAATTGTGCTGTTCAAACGTAAATAATTTCAGAAGCTCAGTTTTTGAAAATAAAAACTCTTACCGAAAGCCTAGTAAAAAAAGTTTTAACAAAATTTATTGCTGAAAAAAGATTTTTCGGGGCCAAAACTTAATGTAGACCCTACACAAAATTTTAACTTTTTATTTACATGATATAAAAAAACATTTTATATAATTTTCAATAAATCCTTTCATAACATTAAACATTCAATGTTTTGCTTTAAAAATTTAAAAGAAGTATTAGGGAGGTACTTTATTTTCCTGATTTTATTTTCTTGTACGTGATATTTTATACGTAACGTATGAATACATCAGAAAATCTATAGAGTGAGAAAAATTTATTTTCATGAAAATTATTCCAATCGAATTTCTACGAATATATCCGATTACTTGCACATAAAATATAAATTGTCAATACATGTACCAATTCATTGAATTCAATTGTAAATTTCGAAAACTGCTCTTAAAAGTTTCAATCTCTTCGTTTGTTCACATGTTTGCTAAATCTTCTATACCTTCTAAAATAGAAAAATGAGAACTTGGAAAGTTCATTTCTATGAAAGAAAGTTTTTATGTTTTCACAATATTTTTCATATCCTAGATGTATGCAATAATTATTACAATATGACTATATTAGTGAAAATAATTTAGAAAAAGATTGTATTTTTTCATTGGAGTATTTTCACTTATTGAAGAGAAATGTATTTCTTCACTAATTATAATCCGAATTCGTTAAATTAATCTTATAATCAGAAAACACACATAAGTATTTCTTCATTCGTATAATTCGTTGCTATTTCTTAGTAAGCAGGCTAAGTTTAAGTTAAATTTTCAAAGGTTTGTTTCAATATTATACAATTTGGCTTGATTAAAATAATAAGAGAATTATAGTTCTTGAATATTATGTAAGTTTAAGAAATTAATTTCACTATAATCGGAATTAAGAAATAAATTTCACTAATATCGTAACATATATCTTAAAAAAATGTTAATTTGTTTCTTTGATTTTTCATCTAACTTTTTAAACAGCACTATCAACCCAATATTATACAATGTGATGTCACATCGTTATAGAGTTGCTTTTAAAGAAACTTTATGCGGCAAACGAAAAACTAGCTATTATCGTCATACAAATGGATTTGCAAGAGACCAAAGCAGTTTTAGAGAAACTATGGCAAGTACAGCAGGATGTGAAGATGCTCATTTGGTAATTAATTGAAAAAAAATATTTACAAAGTTAAAAAAATTACTTAAAGGAGAAATTTTTTTTTTAATTATCCTTTCCTGTTCGCTTTAAATTTTTAATGTTCAAATGGGTTTTTTTTAGAGTTTTTAGTGAATTTTTACTTAAAACAAATCATTTTAAATCCTATACTTATACATAATGGTGGGTTGTAAGTATATTATAGAGGAATGGTTGCTATCAAAAATCTTTTTATACTAATAATCTTTAAGTGTTTTATTTTTTTTATGTGTATCCTTTTCAATAATATCCTAATTTTTTATATAATATTTTAATACAATACAATTTTGGTAATAAAGACCTACGATCATGAACAGTTGGCGCGGGTAACGAAAAAGTAAAGCAGTTCTTTTATAATATAATGATTAAAATAATTTTTTTAAACGCTAAAACAAACAAAACAAAAAAGTATGTATTATTAACCCATTCGAAACTAAATAAATTTTTTATAGCAAAAAGATAGGCACTTATAATTTTCAACAATGTGAGAAGCAACGTATTGATAATGTCTTCATACCTCTGTAGCTCAACTGATAGAGTTTTCGCCTCAAAAGGGGTATGTCACTCGTAAGAGTCCAGTTTAAGTCCACCTCGAAGAGAAATTTTTTTTTTAATTTTTCTGCCTTGACTTCTTCCATCTGTTTTGCAGCTGTATGAAGATCTTTTCATTTTTTTTAAATGGCCACATTTTCTAATGAATTGCGTTAATTTTACACTTACGTAATAAATTTTTTGGTTTTTAATGGGTTAACTAAAGCAAAAAAAACCCCACCAACAAAAGAAAAAAATTAATTTTAAAATGTTTTTTTAATGGTTAAAAATATCCCCATCTTTTTTATACTTCTTTGTATACGTATTGTAGGAAACCGGAATTTCTTAAAACCACGTATATTAGGTTTTCCTTTTTTCTTCATACAATACAATATCCCCTTGATGTCGTACCACGTAATTGAAAAAAAACATAAAAAAAAACAACTTTTCCTTTTTCTTTAATATTTTTTTTTTATTTACAAAAAAAAAAAACAATCTACAGGTACGTGTGCGATCCGTGAGAAATTCTCATTACATTAAGGATTCAATTAAAGTGAATAATGTTCTATGGAAGAATAGTAATAATAGTAGCAGTAGCACCAATAACACAACAACAACCACAACAACAACAATAGCAACAGAATCTTCGAAAATAATTAAAACCAAAAAGGTGAGAAGGATTTTTGCTCTTCCTCTTTCTCTTTTTTTTTAAAGTATACAAGTTTAAATTATTTATATTTTTTAAATATTTTCTTTATTTTTGCTATTTTTATACGCATACAATAAAGGTTTGTGATTATAATGGTTACCATTTATGTGAGAGAAAACGTAAAATTTTTATAGCATACGTGCAATTCTACGATTATCAACAAATTTGTATGCTATTGTACGTAGTGATTAAATAAATAACAGTCATTTCTCTTATTAAAATAATGAAAATCTGTAAACTTTATTAAGAACCATTTGAAATTATTAATTTACATTAAAAATTATTGAACAAATTATTTATATGACGTTGTCGATATTAGAGTCACGGAAAAGTGCTTGAATTCTGGTTATACAGTCACGGAATTTATATTTTGAAATTTAGTTTAGAGAAAAATAAAATGCGCAGTATAGAATTTTTGTCAAAATGCCATCAAGTACAATAGCTACAGCTGTTAACATTTATTTAAGTAGCTAAAGCTGTTCACAAAGAACAAAATAGAAGTCCTCCCCTCTTAGTCTTGACAGCAGCGCACCTTTTGAGATAACGTATAAGACGGGATATTCGCTAGTTACCTCATTTTCAATTCTATTATATATTTCCGAATCATTTCAGCGAATTGTTATGAAATATTTTTTGTGCGATACAAATCCACTCTTAACCACTTCTTCCTGTGTGCGTTCCATAGCATTACATTTGATTTAAGCCGTTTTCAATCAAACCTACATACAAACAACACGAATTTGGGGATTACTGTATACAAAGCAAATTCAATACTGCATTAAATTACTATATAGCTAAGCTTTTTTATCAGACTTACAATTCTTAGAATTCTGTTAAACTTTTGTAAATTAATTAAAATTTATTTTAAAATGAAAAGAAAAAACAGTTATAGTGAAAACTTTTTATATATTTTGCGGTTTTTAATATTATTCCTTCAACATTGGACAAAAATAAACTCAGATAAAAAGTTCAACAAACATACTATAAAGAAAAAGGAATGAAAAGAGAGATGAGATTTTTTTTTGTGAAATTTAAACAACAAAATGAATGAAAATTCCATTGAATTGAAATCTGCCCGATCAATCCACTTAACACCCATCAGCCTGTCAATAAACGGAAAATTCAAAGTATTTTATATTCGTTTTTAATTTTAAAACTAAATAAAAAATATTTCAATTTGAAAACTCAATCAACTTATGGAATAAAAACAAACCTAAAAAATTCAATTACGTTTCTGAGAACTTTTTTTTGGGACATTAAAGAAGACAACAACAAAATGCTCGAAAAGATAAGACTTTTAAGCATGTGTGGGAATAAAAAAAGAATTATTTTCAGTAGATAACGAAAGCTTTTTTTTTCATGGCAAAAATAAGCAAAAACTCACTAAAACTGTTCTTTTCCCAAGTTCATTCACCCCCTATATACGAGCATTCCCATTTCATTTGTTATTTTTAACTTTCATAAACTTCAGGTGTAAAGTTTTGCAAGTTTTGTATACAACATTGTTATACGATAAACAAAAAATGTCCTTTTTATCACAAACAATTGATTTATTTCAAACTTTTTGTGTAGTTAATAAAATTTAGTTTTTATTTTGGTAAAATATTTATTATAAGAAAATATAGTCCAACTCATATGTCCTGTTCATAGTTGCTATATCAATTAAAGCGAATAAAATTCGATAGATATATACGCAAACATATGCAACTTTATTCATTTTTTTTTTGTTTTGAATTATCCTGTATATCCTTTTCAAAAATAAGTTTTTCACTTCCAAAAACAAACAATTGTAAAAGTTTGAATAGAAAAAAAAGACAGAACAACACGTACACATTAATTTTCAAATTTTTATATAAAATATGATTTTTTATAGGAATGATATACATCATGTATATGCACATACTCAAACTTATATACAATATTATTATAGGTGTAGAAAATAATTAACCAGTTTTTAAATAAAATATGGGTTCATTTATTAATTGAAATAATAATAAATGGAAAGTTTTGCAATTAAGTTTTCTTATATTTTATTATTTCCAATTAAAAATTATTGCATGCAAAAGTGTTTGCTTTTTTTTAACTTTAATAATAGCACAAAAAAAAAAGAATTAGAGAGGGAAAATAATATTTTTTAAAAAATTTTCTTTTTTGATAATAAATTCAGGACACTTGTATGTTATCCTTACAAACTAACTTTGTTTTGAAATTGAATGAATTTTTAACTATAAATATATTAAAATTTTATAAACAGATTTATATAGAAATCAAGTAATGAATTAAGTTAAATTAATTTTAAGTACAACTAACCAAGAATTTGTGAAAATTAAAGCATTCGAAAAAATTGCCGTAGCAATATATGAATTCTTACAATAAAAGTTCTAAATTGAATTGAATTTTTATTTACTACCTAAATTAACACATAATTTTAAAAACTGCAATATAAAGAATTTAAGAATTCAATAATTTGAAAAATGTGTAAATATATAAAATTTTAAACCCTCTATGTACTTTATTTTGATCAAGTCTAAAAAAAAGTATTTAAGGACTTTCTCTTGCACAGTTTTAACCACAAAACATATACTTTGCATACTAAAATTATCTCTTCAAATCTATATACCATATTTCCACTTCGAGGTGAGTTGAATTACAATATGCAAGTATTAGAGTGCGTTGTGTGATATATAATATATTACAAATACGAATTTGTCATGATATGATTTATTAAGGCCTTGTTATTCTTCAAAATTAACTATATTTAAAAGATTTTAATTCGAAGAGTTGGTTCATTATCTAATTAGTACCGTACCCTATATAATTAATTTATATGTATATATATATATATATAATATAATATATATATATATATAATATAATATAAATATATATATATATATATATATATTGATCTTATTCATAAACTTAAATATTATTTTGACTTTGAAAGGGAAGGATAATAAAACAAATAAACCAAAACAATAGTAACATTAAATAATCACTCCTGTCAAGAATGTTTGTTAGTAACATATGACCTTAACTATATTATGATGGAATATGCTTTCCTTTTTGTAAATTATTCCTTTTTAATACAAAGACATGTGTGTATGTAGTTCAACGTTAATATTATTTTTAACAAAACAAAAAAGGCATAATGACATCTCCAATAAAAAGATTCCCACCTGTGTGGGTTTTCCTTCACATTGCTCTCTTTATTATTTTTAATATTTTTTCCATCCCAAAAAAAGGAAAACTATATTATAAAAAAAGTGTGTTATCCTTAAAATGAAATGTGTATAGAAGAGCAAAAAATTATCACAATAAAATTATTTTCCTCATAATAAAAGAGAAGAGAAAGAGAAAATAATATAAATAAAGAGTAGCTATATAGAGTGTTCCATTCGAAGGCTATATAAAGTTTATTAAAATATTGAATAAAGCAAGTTCTCTCCGCTTAAAAATTACGTTAAAATATAACAACTACGGTAGAAAAATATAACAAATAAAACGTTAAAATATAACAACTACGGTATAAAAGTCATACACTTTTATTACATATTACTCTTTAAGATACCGTTGTAGCAAGTCAAACTTACATAATTAAATGACCATGATAATGAAATGATTATGAATGTTTTGTTCGAGGAGTTATTGCTGCTAAATTTACCAACACCGGAATAACCACTATTTTTTCATTATCTTCAACGTCCTCACTTAAAAATTTCCATTATCATGTAGCATTTTTAGTTCTTTCAAATGTTTCCAATTGAAAAAATTGAAAAATCTAAACTAAAAAAGTATTAATTGAAATTTGGCATGTACGCAAATTCGCAATATTTCTTCTATATATTCTTTCGATATTGATTTTTTTTTCTAAGATAATTATTAAGGAAAATCAAATATAACATAATACACTCTTAATATCTATACACATTTACAATAATTTCAAATTTTCGAATTAAATCCTTGCCAACGGAAATATTTTTCAAGGTCTTCTCTCTAAAAAAACTTATTTTATTTTTAAGGTTAAAAGACCTGTTTATTTTTAGGTTTTAACCAATCTGTTAAAAATTCTAAAAATTTAAATTTATATTTTAGGTTTATTTTATCATTAAAATATACACAATATTATGCTTTTATATATGTATATACGATAGTTATATATATAAGAAAAATCGAAATTTGAATTTCGGTTATATTTTGCGAAATCTGCAAAAATTTAAATTGCAAATTTAAAAAAAAATATTTCTTTAAATGTGATAACAATTTACAAAATTTTGCAAAAGAAAACTTCATAATAAGTATAATAAGTTTGAATATTTGCATTGACAAATCTTTTATATATTCCATGATATTTGGTTGATCTATAATACAGTCCCTCATAAAAAGTATTTACCAGAAATAGGCTTAATCTCTAAAACATCTCATTATCATCTCAAATTCCTCGGAAACGAAATTTCAGCCACGCAAATTTTATCTCTCCTAATTTCCATGCTTTCTTGTTCAATATTGACCATAATACATTTATAGTAGGTGCTCTTGTACATACAAGTATAAATCAAGAAAACCTAAAATTAATTTATATACCCGTACGAACGTATGTTCAAACGTATTGTACCGTTTGTAACGCTAAGAAATAACGGTATTAGATATAGACTCAAGTGTATGTTTTTGATCAGCTTCAAATTCTGAGTTGATTTAGCTTTGTCTGTCCTTCTGTCCGTCCGTTCATCCGTCCCAGCGATAACTCAAAAACTAATTAAGATAACTTCACCAAATTTTCACAAATGATTTATTGTAGTATGTGCCAGAACCCTATTTAAATTGGACGTGATCGGGGTACTGGTTTGGGTAGCTGCCATACAACTTCAAAAGTTATTTGGCTATATCTCAAAAACTATAAAAGCTATGGTATTGAAATTTCACAAAAGCGAATATATTAGTAAGGTCAATGTGTTTGATAAGATTCGGTATAATTTCTTGGCTCTTTCTGGTAGCTGCCATACAACTTCAATAGTAGTTTGGCACACACAGTATTTTAAAAACCACTACTGAAATTTTGCATAAATTAATATGGTAATACGACATCTTAAAGTCGTAGTCTGTCCCATAATCAGTTATAGCATATTTATAACAAATTCGTATGGGTATCACAGAGTTAACAAGGTCAACTCTATTTTTTCTCGTTTTATTCTTTCTTTCATATTTTGCTTTTTCCATAATTATATTTTTCTTTATTTTCTTTATATTTTTCTTCTAGTTTTGAAGAAGATCTATTTAATAGCTTGATTGTTCTTCTTTCACAATTCTTAAATATTTTTATTAATTACTTTTTGATGAATTTTTATAATAGTTAATTATTTTGTGTCATTTTATTTTGACAGGAAGATGAACCCAAATCAATTAATAATACGAATTCAAATAGTGTTGTCATTGTTGACAATAATATTAATGGTAGACCAAAGGTCTTAACAACAAACGAAGCTCAAGAAAACAATTTGCTCAAGAAGGATGAAACTTATATTTAACGAATTAAAAGGATTCAAATTATTTACAAATAAAAATTATAAATACTTACTTATAAAATAAATGATAAATAATAGAATAAGGAAAAAAAAAACATAAAAACACGAAAAAAAAATTAACAGTTAATAAAATTTTTTTATATAATGTTAAAACAAAACGAACAAAGAGTAGGTATAGAATGAAAAGAAAAAACAATAATATTGTATAAGGAGAATATTATGAATTATAGATATAAAGTATAAAAGAGACAAGTATATTATGGTATTGATAGAGTAAATCGAAAGCAAACGAATCCTAATTGATCGAGTTCTTAATTTTTTTTAATAATTTTTTTTTAATTTCATTAGGATTTTCTAATATTCGCAACTTCATCGAGCTTTATGTTAATTGGTTTTTATATTTCATATTCTGCAAAGTTACATTCACAATGATTGAAGCTGTTTATCGGAATAAATTCTGGCTACTCCGCTTATAAAACTACTAAAATTGGAATTTTATTTTTGACCTAAAATTAATGCAATAAATCTTTAATTTTTAATTTATTTTTCACATATTTTAAAATATCAAAAAGAACTTACAATCCTTTTGAACGTGTAAAATCAACTTTTGGTTTCTTTTACTAACGCTTTATATTTTATTGTAAAAAATTGCATATTGAGAACGGTTATCAAAACTTCATAATTTGTAAGTTAAACGCTTATGAAATTAAATTTTTATGTATTGAATTATTCTTGTTCTTATATGTTTTACTTCAAGTACATTTTGGAAGTGCTCAAAAAGCAGAAAATCTTATTAAATTATTTTGCAACAATAATATTACTGTGTGTGTACTATATGAAATGATATAAGCGTAGAATAAAGAAGTACTAAAAGTTAATACCGAAAAAAGGAAACAATCTAAAAACATGCTTACATAATAAATACATATGTATGCATATAAAAATATATACACATTCTTAAAAAATAATAAAAATGCTAGACATTATATACTGCCTAGGATTGACTTTTATTTTTATTTTAGGTCCTTAAGGTCAAAAAAAGGAAAATAAAAACACAGTATTTTTTTTGAAAATATTTTTAATGTTAGTGAAAGTTAAAATATTTTTTTGGATTTAATTTCGAATGTATTTATGTAAATAAGTAAATATTTTAAAAAGAAATTATGCAATAAAAACGAAAGACTCTGTAAAGTAATAAAGAAAACGTAACACAAAAAAAAGCAAAAGTATTGTAAAAATTATAAAAAATAAAACTTTTTTCGAAAACTCAATAATATAGAAATATTTTAGAATTTAAAGGTAAAAACAAAGTATTGTACATATATATATATATATATATATATATATATATATATATATATATACATTATAATGTATATACCTATATTTACTATAAATTTAAAAATTAATAAAGAAAAAGTTGATAAAGGTAAAAATAAGAAAAGAAATGATGATTACATTGAGAAAAAAAAATTCCATTTTTTCATTATTTTATTAAACACAAGGCAGATACACTTAAGTTAATTTGAAAAAAATGTTTTCATTTTTATTTATGGGAAAAGTTTTTTAATCTAATTTATAGAATAAATGCCATCAGCCATAACATGAATCCTACAATAAAATCTGTCATATTTCTATTTTAAAATTCATAAATTATGTTATACGTAATTTTTGGCAAAAAATTTGACAACTTGACATAAATTTTTGGTAGTCGAATATTTAATGAGGTTTCGTAATCAAATTCTGACAAAATTTTTTTTTTTAATTATTACAGTATAAGGAGGATTCAGAAAACTCTTTTTTGAAAAATAGTTTTTTCAATCACTTTCATTTAATATTAATTTTGGAAGGAAAAAAATTTGTAAATAATTTCTGTGTCATACACATATATATGTTTTCTATTTGAAGGCCATAAAGAAAAAAGAGAAATATTCTTAATATCTATGTAAGTATATATATGTATATAAAAATAAATGTATGTCTAATCACTTGTTTACGAACATCTATACATTTATTAAAAGATATTCAAATATTGTTAATTTTTACAAATGACACCAATCAGGAAGACCGTTAATACGCTTATGTCTATATTTTAATTTGAGTTGATTCTGGGACACCCAAAGATTTAGCAGTAAATAGCAACTTCTCAAAAATGTTGAATTCTTGGATATTTATACTTCTTCAATTGCATGAATTTCTTGCTCCCTAAATTCAATTCTAAAAAATGCTAAACCTTAATTAATTGAAAAAAAAGATTAAAATCATTGTCTGGAACCCAAGTTCATTTACATTGATCAAGCGATATTTTATAATTTTTGTGTTTACAGTTAACTTACTGCTCAATATCAATTTCAAATCATATTTATCATAAATTCTAATACCTATTATAAAAAATAATAAAGTGACATTTTTTTACATTCATCTTTTATCATCCGCAAAGATTGATTGATTTTCAATTTTCATTCATATATGCATGTATGTTCTTTAGATAATGTAAAATTGAAAAATTTTATTAAAAACCATCATAAGATAAGAATTTTAGAAAATTACCCTTTATTTGAGTCAATATCCTTTGCTATTGAATATGAAATCCTAGTGATTCAATAACTTTTATCTTTTTAATAAAAAAAGTGTTGTTTTTTACGTTTTGTTTTCGATAGATTTTATGATATTGTCCAGTTTTCAAAAACAGTTTATTAAGAAAATTAATAATGACAGGCATAACAAAGTGATAACAAATCGTTCGAAATAAAAATGTTGATAAAAAAAATATTTTTCATTTTACCAGTCCATTTAAATTTTAGGTGATTGAGTATTTAATAATTGTTAGTACAATTTAATCCATTATTTTGTTATAATAGGTTAGGTTAGATGATTTCTCCTCCCCTTTGTCACAACAATTCCTACAGAGATCATTTTCGGAGCAACCCATCTTCCTCATACATTCGCCAACTATCCCCTCTTTGAAAAGATAGCTTTGGCCACAACTTCTTTGTCGCTTTGCATTTTGTTCTATTCGCTCCTCTGAAGTTGACCCTCTCTACTACTGCGTTGCACAACAGCAGCCTGTGTGTATGCTGTGTAGAGGCATACGCAGGTGTCTCTTTATCAGAAAGAATCCCAAGAGTCTTCCCATGTCTTACAAACTCGTTGGCTTTACAGTTGCCCGGAGCTGCACTGTGTCCGACAACCCTAAACCAAATTTAATTTGAATTGTCTGCCGTCTCATTAAAAGACGGCTCGCAATTTTGGACCATTTTGGACATGAAGATCTCAGACTCTAGCGCCTCTATCGCAGCCTGGCTGTCTGTATGGAATGAAGATACTAACACTATCCACGGATATCACATTATAAACAACCCAGTGAAGAGCCTCTCTAATCGCAGCTGCCTCTGCCTGAAATTCACTGCAGCGAACTGCACCACTTACCTTTCCATCATTTTATTATAATAACTGAATTAATCTTTCTATAACACAGTATACAGGATCATTGAATAAGTCTAAAACAATTAATTATTGGTTCTTAAATAGAACTTTAAATATATTATATTTATAAATCAGCGAGTCATCTACAAACTACTCCCAACTATACTCCGGATTAGTTCAGAAATTACATCATTAGTTTATTTTTAAAACATGAATTCGCTTCATTGCAAAATTCGGGAAAAAACTACGATACTAGAACATATTAATTTAAATTTCTGCCCGCAATTACTTTAATTAAAAAAATAATTGTTTACTAAAGGCTCGAATAATAATATTTTTGGTATGAAATTTTCTGAGAATTATTTATTTTTTTCCCCTCTGTGTTTTCTTGTGCTCTTGCGATAATTTATAATTTAAATGTTAAAATAAAAAACGTTCCTATTTTAACCTAATTATAAAAATTCAAACGCGAATCATAAAAATAAAAAATAATTAAAAAACGTTAATATTGTTAATCATCTTTTTTCGCTTTTTTTTTTAAGTTGACCACATAACCCACATCTTGACAAGGAATTACGAGTATTTTAGAAAAAAAAAACAAAATTAATGAAATCACTGGAACGAATTCGATGTTCCAAATAATGGTATTTTACTTTTTAATTATAATACAAAAAGTTGTTCTTCATTTTTTTGACTTCTATATTGAGAAATACTGTACATCATTACTTAAAACTGTTTCTACATTGAAAATACAGAGTCGCCCTCTGTAGAAAAGGATTGAGATATTTACAACAAAAAAAGTTTTATAAAAGAACAGGGAGCATTGAGAAGAAATAGAAAATGCATAGAGCACTCCAGAGCCAAGCACCGTCAAAAATCATAAAACAAACAAACGAATATGGATAACTCTAGTACATTGCCGTCGTAGATTTCGGGAATTTGACAGCTAGAGGGGCATCAGCGAAATCATAGTCGACCAATTAAGATAAATTAAGAAATGAAACAGGAGTGTTGCTGCCTTACACTGACTGTTCTTTACCGTTGCAACAGATGAAATAATGAGAAAACAACCAAAACATCCGAGAACTAGCCGCGGAATTTCCTGAAAAAAAAAGTGTGTAACAAATGGAAAAACCGTGGGTGAAATAAAAGGCTTAGTGTAAATCAAAGTGTGAAATTCTAATTTGAATAAATGAAAAAAAGACATTAATCTCATTATTAATATAAAATTTTTAATCAATCTTATTTCTTTCTATTATTCTTATTTCTACCTAAGCAGCACATATTTTCCTATTTAAATAATAAAAATCCATGATTCAAATTGTATTATGGACTATTTCCAATTTAATATGGAAATTACCTTAAAAAATCAAATGACACGAACAAAATAACGCTTTCTTCACGTTCTAGTTTCATATTATTTTCTGAAACTGTTTAAAGTAAGTCAAAACATACAATCTCAAAGTATTTGAATTGTCAAATAAAGTATAAAACTTGTGATAAATATAACAGCTATTCTTACAAAAATGATTATATGAACAGTTCTTAAATCAATAGGAAAAAATTCATAAAATTAAGTAGGAGTTGTAGAAAATTAAAAAAGAAATAAATAAAATAAAAGAACACAGGACTAATATATATTTAAGGGAAGAACAAAAGCGGAAAGAAATTGAAGAAAAAAATATTAAGGTAGGTACTCTTATAACTGAAAGATAAATTTCAAAAGATGATGTTGTCTGCTCTTGATTGGAATTTTTATATTTTTTTATTTTATATTTTTTGTTTGCTTGTTGAAACAATAATGACCCTAAGGGAAACAAAAAAAGCAAAAATTTTTTTTGCTGTTTGTTACTTTTAAGGAAAATTTTTTTTGCAATTTTTTCTTTCTATATTCATTTTCATTTTTAATTTTATTTAAAATTAAATTCCCAATTTTTCGCCCTCGAATGCAATTAAATTGGGAGACTTCATGTAAAGCTGACCATTAGATTGTAAAAACGACAAAGTTAATTAAATCATAAATTCACTGTGAAGTTTAAATAGGTACATTTGCAAATATTATTCATATGTGGTAAACGTTTTAAAGAAGACTCAGTTCCGCGGTATAAAATGTAGGTAAGCCATTCTTTAAAGTTATGCTTTTCGTTGTAAAAATATTATAAAAATATTCCTAGTAAAATATTTTATATGAAATTCTTCAAAATCAATTACAAAAAAAAATTATCCGTTTCAAGTTACGTCTTGCAATTATGAATACTTTTAATCACTTTAACAATTTTATAACAAAATTTAAAAATGTATTAAAAATTCTCAATCCAGCTGTCAATATTGAAAAAATTGTTTTCTACAACTGATTCATAATTTATACCCAAGGAAAACTAAGGAGAAATCTTACCAAATCTTTTGTATACTTTCCATATCAAAAAAAACAAAAGTCGAACTCATTATTTTAAAATAAAATGACAATTTGATTATTCCTTATTATCTTTTTGTAATTAAATTCAACATTTTATATAAGGATACAAAAAGTTAAAATATGAAAGGCCAAGTATTTATAAATTATATATAATATATAAATACTCATATATAAATAAAATATTTATGATAAAG